TGCATGTTACCCTAAAACCCTGTCAATAAATGTATAATGTTAAATTGATGAAAATTTTAGATTTAGATGTTAGACTTTTCAATATTTATCATGTTTATAGCAAGTTACAAATGTAGCGAAGTAAATCGGTCCCATGTCTTAACTAACTTGATAGGCAGTCATGATTAAAAGGAAAATTTGCTAAAGTATTATTTTTTAGGCATTTACAATACAGAAAATATGACTGTTACATGCCTCTTTAGAGCTTGGTACCTTTTCTTCAGATTTTTATGCCCCCTTCCCCCTTCTAAGAAGGGAGGGCATATTGCTTTGCTGCTGTCTGTTGGTCAGTCAGTCGGTCTGTCGGTCCACCAATAGTTTCCATTTATTTTCTTTGCAGAGGTTGCACATACTGGAATGAAATTTGGTATACTGATTTATCATAAGAATACCTAGGTCAAGTTCTGTTTTGGGTACGATTGAGAAATTTCAGACAGAGTTATGCTCCTTGGACTTAGAAAAATTCCAATTATTTGCAGTTGCCATTCATTTTCTTCGCAGAGGTTGCCCATACTGAAATGAAATTTGGTATACAGATTTATCATAAGAATATCTAGGTCAAGTTCTGTTTTGGGTACGATCGAGCAATTTCGGACAGAGTTATGCCCCTTGGACTTAGGAAAATGCCAGTGATTTGGGGGAGGGGGGCATCAGTGTTTCACAAACATCTCTTGTTTGTTTATACAAGTCCCAAGTGGTCAATATAAAAACAGATTAATAGATATGAGAGATATTTAAACATTAAAACGCTTTCTTTATATGTTGACAGCAGAAAAAAATTGATAAATGGTGATAAGTAGCATATATATGCAACATTTCTGCAATGATTGCAGCCATTCATCATCTTTATACTTACACATTTTATTGTTTATAACTTTGATTCATAATTCATATAAAGTAGGAGAAGGTACATGAAATATAGTATGACCACCGGCACTTCTTAAAAATGTTTTTCAATCTGATGTCTTGAAAACAACTGGATCTACCAATTTAACATGTTAATTGTATGTATTGAGTAATCAACAGCAATTGGTTTTCTTGAAAAATAAGGAGAGAATTCAACGGATGTAAATATCTTATGATAAGGTCTCAGTCTTCACAGTTTCGTATTCAGAAGATGATTAAAGTGTGTATAGGAGTTCCGAATTTGTTTGCCTGTCTTCATTTTTACTAAATATTCCATGTTTATAACTGGATGTAAATTTTTTTATGATAAGGTCTTAGTTATCACAGTTTCATATTCAGAAGATTATTAGGCATTGGAAAAATGTGTAAAGGAGTTGTCAATTGACCTGTTCTCATACTGAATATTCTCCCTTATAATTTAAGCAGGGAATTGCTTACCTCTCAGAGATATATTAAGCTGAAGACCTGTAGTAAAATCTGCTTATTGGAGAAGGGTATATAATGACATTTCAAAGTTTTTAGAAAACATTTATGTTCAAATGTACATGTATACTGTTGCTCATTTACACGAGGTAGGGAAAATATTAATTTTTAGCTCACCTGAGCTGAAAGCTCAAGCGAGCTTTTCTGATCACCCATTGTACGTCGTCCATCCATCTGTCCGACTGTCTGTAAACTTTTCAGATTTTCAACTTCTTCTCAAGAACCACTAGGCCAATTTTAACCAATCTTGGTACAAAGCATTCTTAGGTAAAGGGGATTTTAAATTGTTAAATTGAAGGGTCAAGCCCCCTTACAAGGGGAGATAATCAAGAGAAGACAAAAATAGGGTGGGGTCATTAAAAAATCTTCTCAAGAACCACTGGGCCAGAAAAACTGACACTTATATGGAAGCATCTTGGGGTAGTGTAGATTCTAAATTGTTCAAATCATGACCCCCGGGGATAGGGCGGGGTCACAATAGGGAATCCAAGTTTTACATTGAAATATATAGGAAAAGTCTTTAAAAATCTTCTCAAGAACCACTGGACCAGAAAAGCTGAAACTTATCTGGAAGCATCCTGGGGTAGTGTAGATTATAAATTGTTCAAATCATGACCCCCAGGGTTAGGGCGGGGCCACTATATGGAATACAAGTTTTACACTGAAAAAAATCGGAAAAATCTTTAAGAATTTTCTCCCTAAGTTTCACTGGGCCTGAAAAGCTAAAACTTATGTGGAAGCATTCTGGGATAGTGTAGATTCTAAATTGTTTAAATCATGACCCCAGGGGTTGGGTGGGGCCACAATAAGTATTACAAGGGGGGAAAATCTGGTGGGGATAGTGTAGATTCTAAATTGTTTAAATCATGACCACAGGGGTTGGGTGGGGCCACAATAAGTATTACAAGGGGGGAAAATCTGTTGAAGAACAGCATGGTCAAAGTTACTCAGGTGAGTGTTGTGGCTCATGGGCCTTTTATTTTTATGCTCTTCTTTGAAAAAGGGACCATAATGGTTTGCTTCTCTTAGGTGCTCTGTTTGAAGGGTAAAGTAAAACTGTTGTTGTCCGCTCAATACACTGGTCCCAGAAGGAATACGTGACCCCTATTTATATTGAGATCACACAGTCAAGGGTCAAACTAGTAGTACTCTGGATGTATGAAAATATTTCCTCGCAATGTATTGAGAACCCCTGCCATTATAGACATCACTCTTGGTACACTAAGACCCACTTTGGAATATATGACCCCTATTGAATTTGAGGTAACAATGTCAAAGTTCAAGGATCTAACCACTCTGGACTTATGAAAATATTGTCTGCTCAATATCTTGAAAACCCTTTGTGAAATTGCTTTGTCAAAAAATCACCTGGGTAGTGTAGATGTGATTTAGTGCTTTTTGCATTTCCAAATGTATTTACTCATGTATAGATACATGTATATGTGAAAGACACTAAATGGTGTACTTGATTTGGCATAAGTTGCTTTCCAACAACGACACTAAATACAATACACGGTCAAATGTAATATGGAAACAGTATCTTGAGAGCCCTTTGCTTTACAGACATAAAACTTGTTACATGGAGTACATGACCCCATTGATTATTAGGATCACAAGGTCAAAGGTTTTTAGAACCCTCTGCCAAACAGATATCAACCTATATCTGTGAAATGTGATTGTGCATACAAGTAGATAATATTTTTCATTATCATTGCAGATATTGTCAACAAAAGTTTACTCCTCAAGATAGCCACTCTGGGAGATACTGTATGTGTACATAAATTGGCGTATTTAAAATTTATCACAATCAATGGGTATTGCATTGTTGGCACATTCATGAATTAGTGCTACACACTAACGCGCCGTATATTGTATTAATAAATGATTTCTTAGCGGTATTCATGAATTAGCGCATCATTGTCCACGCGAAAGCCGCTAAAATATGAAGCCCGCTTTTTTAAGTACACATACAGTACTTTTTTAGGTCGACTGAGTCACTCTGGTGACTTATTGCTATCTGTTTTCGTCCATTGTTGTTGTACATAGTTTGTCTTCAATCGGTTGTAAACTTTCAAACATTTTTAGCTTCTTCTCTGGAACCATTGAACCAATTTCAACCAATTTTGGCATATAGCATCTTTGGGTGAAGTGGAGTAATAATTTTTAAATTCATGGCTTCTGCCCCCTGGGACTTCAGGGTTGGGGCTAAAACCATAAAAATTAATGCAATCTTTAAAAATCTTCTTCTTTACTCCTGGACATGAAGCAGTCAAACTGTTGACTAATTGTTATAAGCATTGAGTCCTCAACAAAAATTGTGAAATTCATGGCCTGAGGTTCAAGGGTTCTGGCTCTAATCCATGGCTCTAATGATTATAAAATGAAGATGCATTATTTCTTTAAAGATCTTCTCCTTTGCTCCTGGGTATTAAGCAGATAAACTAAGTACTGATGGGGAAGAGTGCCTCTTCCCAAATTGAGAGTTTCATGGCCCCTGGGTCAGGGGTTCCTGGGGGGCTTATTTATTATATACTGAAAATAAATTAATGCATTGAAAATCTTCTCCTCTGCCCCATGGTATTAAACAAACAAACTAAATAGTTAGTTATGATGAGAAAGGGTGCTTCTTCCAAAATCGTGAATTTCACAACCCTGGGTCAGGGGTTCTTTTGCTTGGGTGGGGCTCTATTGATTAATTAGCAAAAATGCATTAATGCTTTGAAAATCAAACTAAATGCAATAATATCAATGTAAATGTATTAAATATAATAATAATTAAATGTGCCTTTTCTTTGCTCCTGAGTATACCAGATTTTTGAAATTCTTAGGCAATTGCTTCGTCTGGCAATTGATTTTGTTTTATACTTCTATGGATCTTAGTATTTGGGAAGGGCTTGCGCCGCGCGCCATAGTCGCATTGAAGTGAAAATTGGCGCATTAAATCAACCGAGCTGGTTGGCGCCAGGCTGCGCATTCAAATTTTAACGATGTTAGTTGGATATACATTGCGTACGACTTTCTTGTTTGTTTTACTTTTGTTTTAAATGCAGTCATTTTAATACACCAAATCTCATTGTTTAAAACCCGGCAAAAACTGCTTCCTGTTACATGAAGCATATTTAGGACATCAAATGTACATTACCTCACTCATTTCCCATGTTTAATTGAGATTTTGACATTATTGATCCAAAATATGAGAAAATTATATTGTTTGCGGGTTCCATTAAATGTGCTACACTCCATACGTGAAAAATAAGCTTTGGTTTATAAAGAAACATGTTTCCTTTCCAATTTCACATTTGTTTCTCATTTTGTTTTTTCTTGAAATGGCCCATCAGAATATATAGATGGCCCATTCATTTTCAAAATGGCCCATTAAAAACGTTGACAGTTGCACCATAGTCCCATTGACCTTTAAGGCCTTCCTAATCACTGGGATCTTTTGCAGTGTTATACTCAGGTGACCGGTAATGTCCTTGTGCCTCTTGTTTATATACCTTTCTTGTTTATATTGCGGGACAGTAGAAGGAGCTATCTTGGCTCCTCCCGGTAATTTTCCAGGGCAAGGCTCCATGGGGTTGCCGCCTTTTGAGGAAAAACCCCTGGCCAGGGTGCAGGCCTCACCTCGAGTGAAAATGCGCCCACCTGCCCCGAGGTTGCCATCTCCTCAGGGAAGTCGTCTGTATGCCCAAAACGGAGGCATGGCACAGTCCCCTGACTCCCCAGCGTGGGTTTGTACTCCAGCGAGAGTACCTGGGCATGATGATGGCTTTAAGCCTAGCCCAGCAGGTCAGACGCAGCTGGATACCTCCAGGGAGGAGGAGACCAGCAGGATACTAAAAAAAGATGAGGGCTTTAAAGACAGTACTTTGATTGAATTTGAACGTGTCTCAAACAGAAATTTGAACAGTTACCATGAGAACCATAAAACTATACACAAGATAAAAGAGATAAAGAACCAAGATCATATGTATGAAAAGGAAGAGATCAAAAATCGAGATGATAAATCTGATAATCAAAAGAACAAGAACCTTGAGAATACATTTGAAAGACAAGAAAGCAAGAATCATGAGAATGCATATGAAAGAGATGAAATTAGGAGTGTCGTGTATGTTCAGGGATCATTTCATCAGGGAGATCCAATGTTTTTGGGCAATGCAGGAACTCAGTGCGTTCCTAATTGTTTAGCAGGGCTATCATATCATAAAGTGAAAAACAGTAAGTACTGGAATACAATGGATATGAACAAAATTTTAGTGACTGGTGATGAATTGTACACGTATTTGCAAAGAAGCTCAGCAATAAATAATAGGTATTTACTTGTACAGGAACTACCACACTTCTTTGAATGCTTTGATCGATCTTTTGAGTTTAGAACAAACGAGACATTATCAAGTGTGATTTTGCCAGGAAATGGATTCAACTTTGCAGAGTTTGGTGCATATTCACTAGATGAAGCATTAGGTATAGCTCTTGCTGAAACAGATGGATGCTTTGTATGCTTTGGGGGAAGTACGCTATTGATTGGCAAATCAGGAGATAGTTTTTTCTCATTTGATTCCCATTCAAGATCTTTAAGAGGATTGTTAAGTGTAAGAGGAAAGAGCTCAAGAGTTCTTTTTCAAAATGTAGCTCAGGTCCATCTTCATATTCACTCGTTGGCTATATCTATGGGGTATTCAAGAGATGTTGAATGCAATGTTACTGGGGTACATTGTAAAGTGGATGACATTTTGGATGCTAGAATTAATGCGAAACAAACTCGGGAGCATGTTGACTATTTTGTCGAAGAGACCACTGATAATTCATTCTCGCAAAAAGAAAGTAGTACTGAATGTGAAAATGATGAATTAGCTTTTGTTTCGATTGAGTGTGAACAATTCTTTTATGTTCCTATTGACTCTGTCATGAAAAGGGACTTATGTCAAGATTTGAATATTCCTCTCATATGCAGTGGGAATGGAGTTGACACTTATTGCTCAGGAAAGAAACTTGACAAGCCTAGTTCTCAGCAGGAGATTTTAGGAGATGGCAACTGCTTTTTCAGAGCTGTATCATTTAGTTTGACTAATTCGGAGGACTACCATTATGTCATCCGTAGTGCAGTTTGTAAGCACTTGCTTGAAAATGAGGTGGTATTCAAACCATTTTTAAGAACTGGAGAAAATACTGTAAAAGAACATCTGTCTAAGTCATCAATGTCTAAAAATGGAACTTGGGCAACTGAGTTAGAAATTTTAGCTGTGTGTCACCTGATAAATGTTGATATTTACACATATACCAGAAATCAATGGTTGAAGTTTTCAATTGAGAAAGAGAGTCCACATATAAAAAGAAGAACTGGTGCAATATACTTGAATCATCATGCACAAAATCATTACAATGTTGTTCTTGATGTTTGTGAAAAGAATGTTGATATGACAGAGGAAACAGTGTGTGAAAGCAGAACATTTGATCCAAAGTACTCGAAAAAGAAAATGAAAAATCGTCAACGCATGCAAGCAAAAAGACGTGTTTCTTCAAGGATAATGGAAAGACAAAATACTGTGGAAAAGCGTAAGCAATCAATGAGGAGAAAGTATCAAGAGGATGCTGAATTTCGGAAAAAGAAATTGAAAGCTGCATATATCAAGTACAAAGATGATGACGAATTTCATTCAGTTGTTAAAACAAGAAATCGAGAAAGATACGAAAAGGATGCTTTGTACCGTAGCAAAACAAAAAACAGACGTCAGAAAGAATATGCAGAGAATGAAGAAAACAGGAAAAAAACCAAGGAAGCAAGCTTAAAAAAGTATGCTTCAAGTAAAGCACATCAAGAAAATGTAAAAAATAGAAGCATTAAGAAATACTGGACTGATGCTGTACATAAAAAGAATGTTAAAGCAAGAAGTGTGCAGAAATACAAGACCAATCTTGTTCATAAGGAGAATGTGAAGCAAAGAAGTGCAGAAAAATACAGAACTGACACTGCACATAAGAAGGATCTAAAACAAAGAAGCAAAGAAAAATATAGAACTGATATTGTGTACAGAGGAAAAGTCAAAAAGAGAGCAATAGAAAGATACAAAAATGATGAAATGTATAGGGAAAAGATAAAGAAGAGCAATACGGAAAAGTACAGAACTGATGAGAAATACAGAAAACAAGTTAATTTTACAAAGAGATACAAAACTAATAAGAATTTCAGAGACAGAATTCTTAAATCCAAAGCAAGACTATATAGCACAGATGACAGTTTTAGATCAAGTGTTAAAGCTTGTAGTAAGAAACAATACTATTCTAGTTCTGATGCTAAAATTTTGAAGAAAAAGGCTGTTAAACAGCAAAGGGCAGCAAAACGTATCAAGTTGGAAACTGAAGAAAAAGTGTTGGAATTATTTAAGGAAAATGCTCTCAAAGGCATCGATTTTGTGTGCTGTTGCTGTCATCGATTATTGTTTGCTAATCAGGTACAGAAATGTGATCATCAGCTTTATTGTAATAATGAACGTTCAAGACATGTTGCAGATATGTGCATACAAGAAAAATATTTGCATAACTGCACAGCTTCTTGCCCAGAGGGCTGTACCAGGTCAGAATTATGGATATGCTATACATGCCATAGAAAGATGTTGAGCGGAAATATTCCTGCAGAGGCAGCAGTCAATGAAATGTATCTTGAGGATATACCGGAAGAACTAGCCAATTTGAATAGTTTAGAGCAGCATTTAATTGCTTTGCACATACCTTTTATGAAGGTAATGGCTCTTCCCCAAGGTGGTCAAAGAAATATACATGGCCCTGTTGTTTGTGTGCCTTCTGACTTGAAAAAAGCTACAAGTTTACCATTAAAGCACGGCGATGATTTATTATTGCGAGTCAAGCTTAAAAGAAAGCTCAGTTACAAGGGTTACTTTGAGTACCAGTTTGTAAATCCGAGCCACATATTTACAGCTCTAAGTTATTTAAAAAAAAGCAATCAATGGTATGAAAGCATCGAAATAAATAATAACTGGGATGGCGACTCAAATGAAGATGAGGAGGTGAAAGTAAACCATAACATGACAGTAGATGATATTGATGAACATCATCAGATTGCAATTGACACTTGTCTACAACCTGCGGATATTGCTCAGGAGGTTTTAGACCATTATTTTGATGACATTTACAATATTGCGCCCGGAGAAGGAAAGAATCCAGTGCGGATGTTGCAGGAACCAGGAAATGAAGCAAAAGCATTTCCCTGTCATTTCCCTAGTGGAAAATTTACTTGGAATGAAGACAGAGGAACAAGAATAACACTCTCTAGATACTTTAATAACAGGTTAATGAATGCAGATGGTAGATTTGCAAAAGATAGCAATTACATATTCTTTTGTCAGTTCATGTCAGAATTGAATCAAGTCATAGAGAAAACACAGATTTCGGTACGAAAATCATTTTCAAAAATGGGAAGTGAGAAGTTAGTTACTTCAAGCATGTTGCAAGATCCAGAAATTCTCTCAAGGTTATTACGAAATGATGAAGCGTTAAGATTTATGCAGCCTATTCGTGGAACACCAGCATATTGGTCGACTGCTCAAAAGGATCTTTTTGCAATGCTCCGCCAATTAGGAATTCCAACCTGGTTTTGCTCTTTTTCTGCAGCTGAACATAGATGGAATGATGCAGTTAGAACCATAATGAGACAGGAAAATGACGATAGAGATCCAGAAATGTTGGACTGGTCTGAAAAGAATGAGACATTAAGAAAAAACCCAGTGACTGTTGCCAGGATGTTTGAGCATAGATTCCACGTCTTTCATAGAGATGTTTTATCTTCTCCATCTGAACCTATTGGAAAAATCGTAGATTATTTCCAGAGAGTTGAATTCCAGCAAAGAGGATCACCTCATATGCATTGCTTGTACTGGATTGAAAATGCACCTAAACTTGACGAACACGGAAAGGAAGCTGTTTGTGATTTCATAGATAAGTATGTATCTTGTGAATTGCCATCTGAGAATGAGGACCCAGAGTTGAGAAATATTGTGTTGGCAGTACAACAACATAGCAGGAGACATTCAAAATCTTGTAGAAAGAAAGGAACAGAATGCAGATTTAACTTTCCGAGGCCTCCCTCTCTACGCACGTTTATTAGTTCACCATGTGAGAATGACAATGACAGTGCACTGAATGGTGAAGAGAATACAGATACTAAATCGACCAAATCCATTGCAAAAGACATTTTATTGCGTGTATGGGAGGAAGTCCAAAACGATTCAAATGAATTCAAAAGTTTAGAAGAAATTTTCAGTAATTTGTCTCTGTCTCAAGAACAGTATGAAGAAGTACATAACATGTTAACAAAATCGAGATCTATTGTTCTTAGAAGAAATCCTTGTGAAATGTGGATTAATCAGTACAATCCATGCCTTTTGAAATGTTGGGATGCCAACATGGATATTCAATTTGTACTGGATCCATTCAGTTGCATTGTTTACATTATTTCATACATTTCAAAGTCAGAGAGGGAAATGGGGATGTTACTGAAGCAAACAAAAGTAGAGGCAGAAGAAGGAAATCTTGATGCCCGTGAAACTTTGAAAAAAATAGGGTCAGCATATCTACACCATAGAGAAGTCAGCGCACAGGAGGGCGTGTACAGAGTTTGCAATTTAAAGATGAAAGAATGTTCTAGGAAAGTTGTGTTTGTGCCAGTAGGTGAAAACCCCACCCGTTTAAGTAAACCACTATCTCAACTAAAAGGACATAAAGGGGAAGTTCATGAAAATGGAAACGAGGAAGATGACGACGAAAACGAGATTTGGATGACAAATATAATAGAAAGATATGAAAATCGTCCAAACAAACCACTATTTCATGGCATGTGCTTAGCAGAATTCTGCTCTATATTCAGAGTGTTAGCTAAATCCCAGATTCCCAAAACTCAAAATGAAAATGTTTTTGAACTGCAAAACTCAAAGGGATATATTCAAAAAAGAACAAGAACAAAACCAGCTGTTATAAGGTATCCAAGATTTAGCGTTGAAAAAATGCCCGAGAAATATTTTCGGTCTCTATTGCAGCTATTTCTGCCACATTGGAATGAGGCTCAGTTAAAACCCCCTGGATTTGATTTATATGAAGGATTTTATGAAACTGGTCATATAAGAATAAAAGGAAAACGAAGTGTCCAGTCTGTCAAATCAATAGTTGACATTAATCATGCACAATATGCAGAAAATGAGGATGTGATCACAGAAGCTCAGGAGACTTTTGAAAACATTGGAGAACCTGAAGATGCATGGGCTAGCCTTTGTCCTGAATCAGAATTAATTAGACAGGAATGTTCTGTAGAAAAAGATAAAATGCACAGCTTAGATGAACATATTCCAGAAGTAATACCTGATATACAAAGTCAGAAAAATTCTGATGTGCTTTTTGAAATTCAGCAGAAAAATCATTCTAAGGATAATATATTACCTGTCTTGCAAAGCCTGAATGAAAAGCAGAAGGAGGTGTTTTACCATGTCCGTGACTGGTGTTTAAGGAAAATAGCTGGAGAGAAACCAGATCCATTGCATGTTTTCATAACAGGAGGAGCAGGAACAGGAAAGAGTCATGTCATTAAGGCTGTAGAATATGAGGCATCACGATTATTTTCTAGAATAATGTCCTCTCCTGATGGTATATCAGTACTTCTAACAGCTTTTACAGGAACAGCTGCGTTCAACATAGGTGGAAATACCATTCATCACGTGTTTTCCCTGACCAAGTATTTGCCGTTACCGTACCAGCCACTTAAAGAGCAAAGTCTAAGTGAAATAAGGGTGCATCTTCAAGACTTGCAGATTCTAGTAATAGATGAAGTGTCGATGGTGTACAAAAAACTCCTTTATTACATTCATGAAAGACTTGTTCAAATAAAGAAGTGCAAAGAGCCATTTGGTGGTGTAAGCATTATCGCTGTAGGTGACTTTTATCAACTCCCTCCTGTAAAACAACGAAAAGATGAAAGATTGTTCAAAGAAAATGCTTCATATCCTGTGGACTACTGGAGAGATTTTTTCAAAGTTGTTGAACTGAATGAAATCATGAGGCAGCAGCAAGATATACCCTTTGCAACAGCTTTAAACTCACTTCGAATTCGAGAAGCAGATCAACCGTTAGCAAGCGAAGCACAATCAATGATTCATGAGTGTATAAGAGAGGGACCAGAGGATGTTCTTCATGTGTATCCAACAAATGAAGAAGTAAACAATTATAACCTCTCAATGTTAAGAAAAAATTGTGAAGATCTGGTCGAGATTGAAGCAAAGGATTTCCAGAAAAATGCAACAACCGGGAAATTGATTTTGAGAGAGAAACCATTCAGAAGCTCGAAAAAAGATAATCTTTGTAGTAGTTTACTTATGGCTGTAAATGCAAGGGTGATGCTTACCAGAAATTGTAATGTAGAAGACGGACTGGTCAATGGAGTTATGGGATATATTTCTCACTTCCAATGTGAAAAGAACTCATCTAATATTATAGCTATAGGAGTAGTCTTTGACAACAAAACTGTCGGTAATAAAACAGGTAAAAGAACTGAAAAAGGAAATGTTGTGCTAGTTCAGAGGGTTCAGGAAGAGATAATTGAAAAGAAATTAAAAACAGTTGTAAGACACCAATTCCCCTTGCGGTTATCCTGGGCATGTACAGCTCATAAAGTACAAGGAATGACGGTTGAAAAAGTTGTGGTTAATTTAGACCGAATGTTTTCACCAGGACAAGCGTATGTTGCACTGACAAGAGTAACATCCAAAAAGGGGCTGTTAATTGAAACCAATAAGAAACAAGAATTGCAGAGGAAAGTGTATGCTGATTCAGAAGTGAAAACAGCACTAGCTGAAATGCCCAGAGTAAAGCTTTCAAAATATTCCATCAAACCATCGGATAAAACAATTATTTTCCACAATGTCCAAAGTTTAAATGGCCATTTTTCAGATCTTCAACATGACATCCGATTCAGGGAAGCAGAAATTATTTGCCTGACTGAGACATGGTTAAGACCTGATCAGTGCACAACAGAATTCGATCTGGGAGGATTTGCTTTTCATCATACACCTAGAAGAGATGTATATGATGAAAGCAATGCCCAAGTACAAAAATTGCGTGTTTCAAAGGGTGGAGGTGTGGCACTATACACCAAACAAAGTCAAAATAAGAAATTAGTCAGTCAACTACCAGAGAAGAATATAGAAAGTATGGCCGTAAAATTAATTGAAAATGATATAACTGTTGTTACTGTGTATCGCCCAAGCACCCTCAGTATGTCTTATTTTCTGGAGCGACTCCAAAAGCTTGTAGAGCATTTCAGATTATCTACAAAACATCTCATTTTTGTTGGGGATTTCAATGAGGACGCAAAATGTGTAGGGCCAATTCAGACTTTATTGAATAAAGAAGGTTTCAGACAACTTGTAAAATTCTACACAACAGAAAGTGGAACCATTCTTGATCATGTTTACGTGTCTGGGGCCTTGCAGGTAGAAGTGATGAGGCTACCAACATATTACAGCTACCATGATGCCTTAGCCATGACCATTGTAACAGCTACTTCATTTCCTTGAACGAATCAACGAAATCATTTAATGTTGCACAGAATTCGAAAAATTAGGCAATGAAAACAATAGTTGATTTCGTTGCCCTTTTTAATGTGACCCGATTACATATAATGAAGGGTAATTTTGAAAGTCTTGGACTTAATTCTTATTGACTTGGTAACGGTGAATATCGGACTTGTTCAGTAGAGCTGCAACACTTTACTCGAAGAACGGCCGCAAAAAGTTCGCACAACAAACGCGAAGATGTGTCAAATGTATTAGTAGATTTGACAATTTGAATTTTGGTATCTGTATTTAGTAAAACGTGTATTAAGCAACACCATTACCCTGAAACTAGCTGTTAATACAACTCACTGAAGTGTAGCGTTGAAGTAAAAAATGGAAACACGTGCGTAGAACATGACAAACGTAACATAGATTACGAGTGTCATAAAGACCAACCAAAAATTGAAGATGATAGTTTCAAGTGTTGGCGCTCAGATAAAAGTTCTACAGAACCTGACGTAAGTTGTCTTCGAAACGAATACTAAACTTGTACACGAAAAATTGTATAATCTCTCAATGAGATTGTTGGGGATTTCAATGAGGACGCAAAATATGTAGGGCCAATTCTGACTTTATTGAATAAAGAAGGTTTCAGATAACTTGTAAAAATACGTTCACTTCTTACAGGTAGAAGTGATGAGGCTGCCAACATATTACAGCTACCATGATGCCTTAACCACCATTGTAACAGCTACTTCATTACCATAAACAAATTAACAAAGTTCAAACTGTATAAAGCTGATCTGAAAACATGATTATGAAATTTGTTTAAAGCGTTGAAAAATATCATTTAATGTTGCACTGAACTCGAAAAATTAGGAAATGAAAACAATAGTTGATTTCGTTGCCTTCTTTAATGTGTACATATAATAAATGGGTAATTTTGAACAATGTAAACACGTGCGTGGAGCATGTCAAACGTTACATAGATTATGAGTGTCATAAAGACCAACAAGAAATGATGATTGACTAAACTTCATAAACTGTGCTTACAGGCAGTAATAATGTAAATTAGACGGAAGGCCTATTCGTTGCTTTGCAACGAGCATTGCTCTAGTTAGGGTCTTCCGTCTCCAACGGAAGACCCTTCTATTATTCTATTGTTTCTTTTTCACTTTTATTATTATTATTATTTTTTTTTTTCTGTCCAAATTTTGTGCAGACGATTTCTCAGAGATGGTTAGATGGATTCACTTGAAATTTTCAGAGATGATGTATCATGATCTTAACCTTATTCATTTTTTTTTATTTTTTGAAAATTCACTTCCGGTCGGAAGTTATCGCCCTTTAATCGAATTTTTAGTGACCATTTTGTCTACACAAAAACTCAAAAACAACAAAAGCTAGAGTGCTGAAATTTTCAGTGATAATAGAGGACATGTTCTAGTTTCGCACCTCAGTTTTCAAATTTTCTGGATGTGCCTAGTATGGAAGCTCGGTTGGGGTCGAAATTTAGGACATGAATCAGGAGTCAATTTTCGAGACATTTTTTATCATATCTTCAAAACTATAAATATTTTCTTAAAACATATTGAACAGAAATTGTGTAGAATTACTAGATCTTTTATATGATATAAAAGAAAAAGGGCTGACTCATCATATTAGGGGTCAAGAGAGGCCAAAAGTCTTAAATCCATAACTCTTTAACGATCAATATTTTGTTATACATTACTAAAGCAAAAATGTTTATCTGAACAATCTACAACTATATATTATGATAAAAATCTCATATGTTACTTAATTAGGGGCTATAAGGGGCCAGAATGCTAAATCTTTGACGCTTTATATCTCGAAAGTGGGAAATATTTTTATAAGCAATATTGAACAAAAGATGTTCAAAATAATGTGCTAAGCAATATGCAACCTTTCAATATTTGCTAAATATTCCCATTAAGGAGTTGAAGGGCCGGCCCCTATTTATTTCTTTTGCATATATCTCGGAAACGAAAAAGAATTTCTGTATAGTTGTTGAACAAAATGTGTTCAAAATCATAAGAGCTTTGATGTGATATCAAGAAAAATGGGCTGGCCCTCAAAATCGGGGCCGATAGGGGCCGAAAGTCTTTCATCAATAACTCTGAAACGATCAATATTTTGTAAAATATTACTGCAGCAAAAATGTTTATCTGAGCAAACTACAACTATATATTATGTTATTCACATCATATGTTACATAATTAGGGGTCATGAGGGGCCGAAATACTAAATCTTTGACGCTTTATATCTCGAAAGTGGGAAATATTTTGCTAAGCAATATTGAATAAAAGATGTTCACAATAATGTTCTGAACAATATGTAACCTTTCAACTTTTGCTAAACGTCTCCATTAAGGAGTTGAAGGGCCGGCCCCTAAATATTTCTTTTGCATATATCTCGGAAACGAAAAAGAATTTCTGAATAGTTGTTGAACAAAAAGTGTTCAAAATCATAAGAGCTTTAACGTGATATCAAGAAAAAGGGACTGGCCCCTCAAAATCGGGGCCAATAGGGGTCGAAAGTCTTTCATCAATAACTCTTAAAAGATCAATATTTTGTAATACATTACTAAGGCAAAATAGATTATCTTCACACTCCTTAACTATATAACATGTTGTTGGCATCATATGTTACGTTATAAGGGGACATTAGGGGCCGGAATGCTAAATCTTTGACGCTTTATATCTCGAAAGTGGGAAATATTTTGATAAGCAATATTGAATAAAAGATGTTCACAATAATGTTCTGAACAATATGTTACCTTTCAATTTTTGCTAAATATTCCCATTAAGGAGTTGAAGGGCCGGCCCCTATTATTTCTTTTGCATATATCTCGGAAACGAAAAAGAATTTCTGAATAGTTGTTGAACAAAAAGTGTTCAAAATCATGAAAGCTGTAAGAAGATATCAAGAAAAAGGGGTTGGCCCCTCAAAATAGGGGCCAAGACGGGCCGAAAGTCTTTAATCTATAATCTTTAATTATCAATATTTTGTTATAGATTACTGAAGCAAAATTGTTCGTCCTAACAATTTATTTATATCATTATATTTGAACGAAAGTCTCAGTCAAATTCTTATCACATCTTATCAAAAATCGGACGGAAGACCCACTCGTTGCTCGCAACGAGATCGCATCTAGTTATTATTATTATTATTTTTTTCTGTCCAAATTTTGTGCAGACGATTTCTCAGAAATGGTTGGATGGATTCACTTGAAATTTTCAGAGATGATGTATCATGATCTAAACCTTATTCATTTTTTTTTATTTTTTGGAAATTCACTTTCGGTCGGAAGTTATCGCCCTTTAATCGAATTTTTAGTGACCATTTTGTCTACACAAAAACGACAAAAGCTAGAGTGCTGAAATTTTCAGTGTTAATAGAGGACATGTTCTAGTTGTGCACCACAGTTTTCAAATTTTCTGAAGTGCCTAGTATGGAAGCTCGGTAGGGGTCAAAATTTAGGACATGAATCAGGAGTGAATTTTCGAGACATTTTTTATCATATCTTCAAAACTATGAATATTTTCCTAAAACACATTGAGCAGAAATTGTGCAGAATTACTAGATCTTTTATATGATATCAAGAAAAAAGGGCTGACTCATCAAATTAGGGGCCAAAAGGGGCAAAAAGTCTTAAATCCATAACTCTTTAACGATCAATATTTTGTTATACATTACTGAAGCAAAAACGTTTATCTGAACAATCTACAACTATATATTATAATAAAAATCTCATATGTTACATAATTAGGGGCCATAAGGGGCCAGAATGCTAAATCTTTGACGCTTTATATCTCGAAAGTGGGAAATATTTTGATCAGCAATATTGAACAAAAGATGTTTAAAATAATGTTCTAAACAATATGCAACCTTTCAATATTTGCTAAACGTCCCCATTAAGGAGTTGAAGGGCCGGCCCCTAAATATTTCTTTTGCATATATCTCAGTAATGAAAAAGAATTTCTGAATAGTTGTTGAACAAAATGTGTTCAAAATCATAAGAGCTTTAAGGTGAAATCAAGAAAAAGGGGCTGGCCCCTCAAAATCGGGGCCAAGAGGGGCCGAAAGTCTTTCATCAATAACTCTTTAACGATCAATATTTTGTAAAATATTACTGCAGCAAAAATGTTTATCTGAGCAAACTACAACTATATATTATGTTATTCAAATCACATGTTACATAATTAGGGGTCATGAGGGGCAGAAATACTAAATCTTTGACGCTTTATATCTAGAAAGTGGGAAATATTTTGCTAAGCAATATTGAATAAAAGATGTTCACAATAATGTTCTGAACAATATGTAACCTTTTAATTTTTGCTTAACGTCCCCATTAAGGAGTTGAAGGGCCGGCCCCTAAATATTTCTTTTGCACATATATCGGAAACGAAAAAGAATTTCTGAATAGTTGTTGAACAAAAAGTGTTCAAAATCATAAGAGATTTAAGATGATATCAAGAAAAAGGGACTTGCCCCTCAAAATAAGGGCTGATAGGGGCCGAAAATCTTTCATCAATAAGTCTTAAACGATCAATATTTTGTAATACATTACTAAGGCAGAATAGATCATCTTCACACTCCTTAACTATATAACGTTGTTGGCATCATATGTTTCGTTATAAGGGGACAATAGGGGCCAGAATGCTAAATCTTTGACGTTAAAAAGGGACATAAGGGGCCAGAATGCTAAATCTTTGACGCTTTATATCTCGAAAGTGGGAAATATCTTGATAAGCAATATTGAATAAAAGATGTTCACAATAACGTTCTGAACAATATGTTACCTTTCAATTTTTGCTGAACGTTCCCATTAAGGAGTTGAAGGGCCGGCCCCTATTATTTCTTTTGCAGATATTTCGGAAACGAAAAAAAAAAAAAAAGTAGAATAGTTGTTGAACAAAAAGTGTTCAAAATCATGAGAGCTGTAAGAAGATAGCAAGAAAATAGGACTGGCCCCTCAAAGTGGGGACCAAGACGGGCCG